CTGGACTGATTCCAGAGCAGCAGTATCTTATCACATGGATTGCTCCATCTTTCAATTCATCTAGATGCTTAAGGAGAACATTTTGTATGTGTCACTCACCTGTGGTCCTGGACTGCCTGGTTCACCCCGATCTCCCTGCAGATGAAGACATGTAGATGTTACTTCGTTGTTAGGATCAGAAGACATGGTAAGCTGCATATTATTCAAACAGAGTATCTCATGTGTCTAACATCCAACCCAAGAGACATTACATGTAAGAAATTTAATAGAAACCTCAACTTAAAATTACTGGAATTTTTTAAATGATAATAAAGATCCATGTACTGTATCTGGGTCTCTTAAAATGATGTGACTCATTTTTTATGTTTCTTTTTTTACAGTATATCCTAACAATTGACAGCAAAATATGGGTAATCATTGACATTTTCAACTGTAAAATACATAGCCTAGCCCTTTAGCTATTTGCACGTGTCATAGTTGGGGAATTGTTACTAAGACAGTAGGGCCGTGACATCTGCAACATTTGCAAATTTGCTTATTCACAATTCAGTCTGGCTGACAGGGTCTTGGATGGAGGAAAAGCAGAGTGGGATGAAACTGAGCTGAAGATTGTTAAGAACGAAATCCAAATTAGCAGTGCAACAGACTAGGATCATGAGATAAATCTAGCTAGTGCCTCTACCTAGCAGCCTCGCCCTGTCCCCTGTCCACTGCCCCACATCTGCATCTCGTCGTCTTCTTGCTTTTGTAATGTAGAGATCGCTTCCAGTTCTATGTTGGCTGCATGGCGTAAAACTGGCTGGAGAGGACTATACATGCTAACTGACAGTTTTACTGGCCATTTAATTACATGGGATGTGCTAATCACAGAGCACGGTATTAACTGTAAAGGCAGAGGGAATGTGAAGAATATATGAGGAATATAAATATGCTGGATGCAGAGAAAGGATTCATGTAGTTAATTGTAGCTGCTTAGCAAGTTTGAGATTACTGTTGTTTGTTTTAGTTGATCAATGTTCTTTTAATCAACTTAAAGCCAATTCATTAGTACTTTTATTATATATATTATATAAGGAGTGTTACTTACGCCTTTTAGTTATACATACTATATCCTATAGTACATTATGCGACTTGGTTATATATGCAAATGTGTCTGCTTCTGCACCAAAGTATAATATACACTGTTCTCCAATTTTCTCCATAGATAGATACTTTATTAATCCCATGATGGGAAATTGCCTGGTTGCCACACACCAGAATCTTCTGCTAAATGAGACTAAATTCTTTTTGGTTAGAATTCTTTCAACAAGTTTTAGCAATTTTTTTCATCCTGTTTAAACTTTCATTAAACATGTACTGGTGAATTTCTCTTCTGAAACACTATTCCTTGGTTTATTCTAGAGATCTAGTTTATTATGAAAGGACTGAGTCTTTTCCAGACATTTAAGAATAATTCCTTGCATGAAGTCCTTTTCCATAGAAACCCAAAGCACTTTATATACAGGAGGGGCCCCACTTTATCTAACACTGAAGTGCAACAACCAGCTATGTGAGGGCCAGCAGCAATTATGTGCAGCAGCATTATGTGAAGCAACACTACAACACCAGAAATCATGTAGAAAAGACAGAAATGGTTTCACCTGTTGAATTAAGATGCAGCTTTAGGAAGGTTAACCGTATATACTCAGAATTGTGTTAAACAGACACTAGAGGAACTTTCAAATTACCATGAGATCTTAAATGAGCAGGTAGTCAGGACCTTAGCTTAACGTCTCATTGGAAAGCCAGCACGTCCTACATCACACTGCCCCTGGCTACCATACTATGGAATTGCAGTTCCTGGTCCGGAGGGAAGAGTGTAACCTACAGGTCCACAAACACCACTTACAACAGCAATCTGATTGTCCTTAGAGGAGAACTCTTAAAGGAACTCTACTCCACCTTTACTGACTGGACCCAAGCTTGCTTAGCTGCTGTGGTCTAATGAGATCAGGCTTCATAGGTGGCAGTGCTCCTAGTGCCTTCTGTGTCACTGATTTTCTGTACTTGTATTAGATGTACTATATGTGCATTTTCATCAGTTAACGGTTATTATTCTTCAATTTAAGCACAGTAAATTAAATAATAAGGGAGACTAAAATGACTGTACCGGAGGTCCTCGGGATCCTGGATAGCCAAACCCAGCTCTTCCTTTGTCTCCCTAAACAGAAGAGAGACAACCTCTTTACCGATTAAACAAGCTAATTCACAATCTCTCATTCCTCAATCTCAAACCAAATCTCAAAAGCCTATAGAGTACAAGTATAAGAAATATGTATCATAACATCAGTAGATGTTTTCTTAACAAAATTATTATGATCAATAATTGTAATAATTAGCCTATTAAATTAATTAATGCAGGCTGAAAAGAGTCTCTTCCATAGAGCTAAATTTGATCTCATTCTAACCACATTTGAGATGAAACTGCAAACACATTGGAGAATAAAAGTAAGGAAAACTTCTGCTCTGGTCTGCACTGTAAATCAGTAGATGAACCTTTGGTCCAGATGCTCCAGTCTCTCCCCTTTGTCCTGCATCACCCGGATCTCCACGGGAGCCCTAAAGAACAGGCAGAGCCACACTGCTGAGTTAAAATCCATGAGTTCTTCATTACAGTAGTCAAATTAAAATCACATTATTCTGAACAGTAAATCAGTAATAGTAATCTTTGTGCTTTATTACCCATGTTTATGAAAACAATAACCAGCTGCAACACAAGAACATTTTAAATGACTTGCATTCCCTTTTAAGTGCTACAGTAAGTAACTTTTTTTGTCTACATGGGTCTCACTGATACTGTACATTAAGGATATGGACTGAAGGCTAATCATTCAAATTACATGTGGTTGAGCTTGCTTTAATGTAATGTTTTTGCTATAATACAATTTTCACTTTGGCACAAATAATCTGAGACTATTTGAACTGTAAAGTGTCATTTAACTTTGTGATAGTTCAACCGCAATGTTTGGTGTGCTTGTAAGTGAAAGAGCAGCAGTGGGTTCTGTGTAGTCCATACTACAATGAATGAGTTCCTAAATTCATTGTTTCATTATTTTTATTCCATGTCTTCTATTTAATTTATATTATCTTCCTTTTCCAACATGGATTTGAATAGTAATCTCAGAAACAAACCAACAGAACCGAAGCTGTGTTTTTCTGATAAAGTTTAAGGAGAGGCATGTTGTCCATAGATAGTGACAACTGACAATTTTGAATGTTTTGACTCACATTCTTCCCACGCTCCCCGAAACCACCTGGGGGCCCTCTGGGTCCTGGAAGTCCTATTTCTCCCTTTTAGCAAAAAAGTAAGGAATAGAGAGGAACAGATATATTACTTCTTTTGATTAGGTAAAGTCTCAGAGATGCCTAATTACCAACAACCAAGTACCAATGTATCAGTATACACAGAAGATTTCTTCAGCTTTACTCAATCACAGACATTTGAAATTCAGCTACAAGGCCTTTGCACAGTAGTTTTCCCCTGCAAAGAACAACATCATCACCTCTTGGCAAGTAGATTTTGTTGGCCTTTCATAAAAAATGTATTTATTTGGTGACATTCCTTTAGTATAAAATAAATGATCCCACTACACTTTAACTGGCAAACAAGTCTTCCGTTCTTCGGTAATTTACAATGCGGTTTTTATGCCAAGTCAGGCACAAGAACACAATCTTTTCATCCCCTGAAAGATCAGACAAAGCCTGCCGAGTCCCCACAATCCTGGTGATATTTTACCTTACTTCCTTTGTTTCCCATTTCACCTGGAAGCCCCCTCTGTCCTTCAGGCCCCTGGTCCCCCTGTAAAAAGACAATTAAATATTTAAAGCTCATTTAGAGAGATCCAGGGCACAATGAAAACATGTGTCAGTATATGGCAACAACTTGGAGAGCATGAAGGGCACTATTGCCATCGATGACTAAGGGGCTTATACAGTATATGCAAAACCTCTGAGGATCATGTCTAATATTTAAGTTATTTCTATATATTGTATAGATGTATAGAAATATTTAAGTTATTTCTATACATATATAATATATGTAACATAAAGCCATTCATGTGTGTTACCCAGGGGTACTCATTTTTTGTGTTTGTAACATTTACTTGTAAGTAGCACATTTGGAGCAAGGTAATTCACCTGACATATCCCAACTAAAATTTAAAAACGTTTACTCAGTTTGTACATACTGTAGGTGTTTGTGACTTCAGTCTCATCTGCTCATAAACCAGATAGTTTTATTAAAGTTAGAAGTTCTTTTCTAAGGTTAGTGAGTTACTGTATGAGTCAGGAAGCCACTGAAAGAGTAAGGATGGGGTGGAGAGAAGGGTGTGAGAAAAGATATGCAAACAGATGTTCAGGTGGTGAGATACTTGCAGGAGATACAGTATATGTGATGGACGTGGTTATAATTTGACCTCCTCCTAAAAGTCTGTTTAAAACAGCATTTAGCTGCACATATTTAAAAAGATCTTTAGCAGCAACTTAAAAAAAATGTAGCACAATTTTTAGTGCAACAAAATTCTTTATGAACTCTGAGCCTTGTAAAATGATCCTCTCCTCTACCAGTGACAAACTAAATAGCTAGAATTAGAATTTTCTTGAAAACATGAAATGCTTCAATATAATTAATTCCAAAAGGTTATTAATGGTACTGTTATCAGTTTTGAAATCATTACCAAGGTGAATGTTTTTTGTGATCAACATTTTTATAGAATTTTCAAACAGATTTATGATAAAAAAACAAATAAGAACCAAATCTAAGTTCATAGTTACTCACATTGAAATGTGAGTATCAAGTATTATTTGGTAAATTTTCTGGGTTTTTACAGATTTATAGAATAGTTTTTTTCACCACTGTTTCACCCCCAGCCCAAATTAAAGTAGTTAACCAAATAATCATGTTCTAAGAAGCGCAGGCAAGGATCTGATTGAAATGTACACCAATCAGCTTGCCAACATAGTACAGACTTGAGTCCAAAGGTTGTTGATAACTGGACAATCCCATAACATGTGACACCCAGTGCCTACAGAGGTGGTCTGACACATTGGCCGTGTAATTAGTCTCATTCTGAATTATTTGAATGGTGGCATGTCCTATGAATTAATATAAAGTGAAATCTGAGATTTTGTAGTTTGTAGAGTTTAAAATCATATTTGACTATATTGTTTCCCAGTCCAAGTGCAGTCCACACCTTTCCATCTCCTTCTCCCATGTTGTTTCTATTGGCTGTTTTTTTCATATATTCTCCGTGAGAGATTTCCATATGCTTATTACTGATCCTTTTGAATTGCCAGGAGAATCAATCCAACTTCCATTTGATGTTGTTTTTTGGTAGGGCATGTTCCATGGTACCTCATTATCATCGCATTATAATCTCAAATAAAGGAAATTAAAAAAGCCTGAAAGATTGTATGCATTTTGTGCTTATTGAAATGTACTGTATGTAAACTGGTGTCATCATAAACACATTTCAACTTGCATATGCCCTTTGAAAGCCTTGATGTGAATGTGAAAGGCTTTTGAATCTGTAAGTTGACATAATGGTTTGATGTAGTACAGTGGTTCAGGTGGGTAGTAAATACTCCAATTTCAGGGCACCGAATGCTACATTTTTACCATGGAGATCACATCTCTTAACACCATCATTGCCCATAATGACGGCCTTACAGCCCTCAAGCACATGCTGGACAAACGCACAGTGCTTGATCCACCCACCCACACCCTGGTACGCCTTGCAGAATTGGTCCTCACACTGAACGCATTCTCTTTCAATAATCTTTTTTACCAACAGGTGAGTGGAGTTGCCATGGGCACCAGAATGGGACCTAGCTATGCCAATATTTTTGTCGGCTGGGTAGAAGAATGCTTCTTCGCTTCCTACACTGGCTATGTCCCTGACCTCTACAAGCGATATATTGATGACTGCGTCGGTGCCGCCACATGCTCCAACAATCAGCTTGAGTGCTTCCTGCACCATTTCACCAACTTCCACCCGTCCCTCAAACATATCTTCCACTGCTCTTCTGTTTCTAGACATCAACTTCTCCATCAACTACCCCCGACTCTCCACTTCAGTTTATTACAAACCCACTGATTCACACAGCTATCTCTTGTATAGCTCATTTCACCCCAAACACACTAAAAATTCTCTCCCTTTTTCACAGTTCCTTCGGCTACAACGATTATGCAGCGACGACATCAACTTCAAGAACCAAGCCCTCAAAATGTACTTTTTCATCAACAGAGGATACCCCAGCAGTGTTATTGACAGGGCCCTTGCCCAAGCCAAAAATACCCCTTGGACCATCAACCCAATCAGGAACTCCCGCCGTAACAACCGCATTCCTTTGGTGCTTCCCTACCACCCTAACACACTTCCTATTCCCAGGACTATTAACGACAACTTTTCCATCCTACAGGATGATCCCTCCATTGGGGACCTCTTTTCTGACAGCCCATCATCTCATATCGCCGAGCACCTAATCTGCCCAACCTTCTTGTTCACAGCTCCCTTGACCGCCCTCAGCAACCATCCACACCAGCCAGTACACATCTAACACCGCACTCATTCAAGGCCCTTCAGGACAATTCTGGATCACCCAGAGGGCATCTTGTACCTCCAGCAACCTTATTTACTGTATCTCTTGCAGTAAATGCTCAGCCATCTACATTGGAGAAACAGGAAGGAGACTCAGAGACCGCTTCAGAGAACATGTCAGGGTTGTGAAGATTAAAGATCTCTCCAAGCCCACAGTTTCTCATTTCACCTCTGACGGCCACGACCACTCTAATCTCTCTGTCTGTGTTCTCAAAGACGGTTTTCCAAACTCATACATCAGAAAGACTACTGAAACCAAACTTATCCTGGAGCTAGGATCACACATTCCCCCTTCTCTTAACGACAGACTACTCTTCTTTAAAATTTTCTCCATTCATTGGAAGTTTCATTTCACACCTCTCTACACCTATTCTGACTTCACACCTCTTGATTGGCCTCTCTTTCTGTCCCCGGCTCCCGCCTCTCACTCCTCCTCCCTCCCAGTCTTTGTTCTCCCGCTACATTACCTTTGCTTACTGCCTTGTCTCTCTCACACCTGAAGAAGGCTCCACGGCCGAAACGTTGTGTTTTCTCTCTTCTTTTTTTTCAGCATGGAATAAACCTATTACTTGTTCCTTTATAATGGTTTGATTTATCCTAATCTATTTGTGTTACATATGGTTTTACTGCCAACACCTGTACAATGGAGGTACAGTATGTGCCATTACATTATATCCCTCTTCCCTCATTTATAGATTATTTACACTTTTTATATGTTTATTGTTACCTTTTCTCCTCTTGGGCCGACTGTTCCAGGGCTTCCCTTGGGCCCGAAATCCCCTCTTCGTCCCTAAGACCACATTAAAGACAAAGCAAACATTGAGTTTTTCATCTTTCTGTTCAATTACATGACTGAGAATAATTAATTAATTAGAAGGAATGCCCTTGATACAGTTCAAATTAAAAAAGCCAACTAAGGTGCAGAGATTCTGTAGTACATGATACATAATGAATGTTAGTGTGTGTTGATGTTTCGGTACAAGTCACAAGATTAGCGAAAAAGGAAGCTACAGGAAACACACATTGCAAGTTAAACTAATGGACACTATATTCAAAAATCTTCCAAAACGTTTTTCACTCTAACACAAAGCAATTAGAGTGAGATAATTACTTGTTAAATTTCTATTAAAGGACTGATGACTGATTGCCATTAGTCTGATTACCATCAACAAGATAACAACGGTTAAAGTAAAAAATACTTGTTATGACATTGCTTATAAAATGAGATGCTCTGCTTTAACGATCATCAGACTTGTTTGCAGACACCAAGAAACAAGTGTGTTAAGAGATTGATCCTATCCAGAAAGGCACAGGGTGGCCACCATATGTGACTACAATGTTCATTAGATGCCCCTCTAAAACCATATCTTGACTGCTGTCACACTTTCATTTTGTATCAGTACTGAAATAGGAAAAATAAAGTTCTTGCTATGTTATTACTAGAGCTTAAAAAATAAATAAATCTTCCCTTCCTCAACATTCATGTGACAAATAAAAATAAAAATGCTTCAACATAATCTGAGGAAAAAAAACCTAACATTTAAAGTAAATACTGTTATTTGTGAAATGGTTCAGGTTGCACATACAACAAGTATGTTTATGGTACTACTACCAAAAGGGTAAAAACACAAATCGGTAAAAGTTATAATTTGTTGATTTAGAATGTCACCATACAGGTTCTCCCCTTGGTCCAGGAGTTCCTACTGTTCCCTGGAAAACAGATAATTTAATTAACAAACAGATTAAAACAACATGTATAATTTATGCCAAGTCTAAGTCTATATTCAATTCAATTCAAACTTTATTGTCCCTTTAAATTTAACTTTAAATAAACATCATCAAAAGGGAAAAGAATACAGTAAAGTTACAGGAGAAAAGAAACAAGAGACAAGAAAGTTACTTTGTATTGTTTAAGAGTGTGATTGCAGTGGGAATGAAAGATTTCCTGAGACTGTTGGTTTTACACCTGGGGGCACAGAGGTGTCTCCCAGATGGGAGAAGTGTGGTATTCGCAATGGAGGGGGAGAGACACACATTCCATAATGCTTTTCGGCTTTCTTAGTCACCCTCTATTTGTAAAGGATGCTTAAGCTGATTTGATTATTCCCGATTATTTTGCCACTTATATTCACTAATTTACCCAGCCTACTACAGTTACTGGTACTTATGTTGCCAAACCAACAAGTGAAGCAATATGTTAAGACACTTTCAATGAATGTGTATATAGCTTGCAATACCACCTTGTGGCTACGCTGTCTTTGGTAGCAGATATCTTTAAGCATATTTAACGATGCATGAACTGAACTGTGTTTGTCCTGCTCCATCACATTAGTGAATCCATTAAACATTTAATTTCTGCAAAGCTCTTATTTCATTTACAGCTTTTAGTTCAAACTCTTCTGATTACTTTGAGTAAATGGACTATATAATATAAGGCAGCATTAAGGTTGTATTCAGATGTTTTTTTAAAAGCATTGAAGGCAGGCCCTACATTATGCCTGGTCCTTGTGGATACCAGTCTTGAAGGATTTGTAAGCCCTTCAGGAGAGCTATTTAGAGTTTAAGTTTAACCCTACTGTATTGTTCTGAAATGATTTAAGGAGATCCATGAACCTGATTGACAGTGGCTTTTGAGTACTGTACCTGGGTAGTCATTATTTATATCAAGTGGAGTTAAAAGCTCACTATCAATAAATTGGCTTAATTGAATATTATTAAATTAAACTGAAAACATCAGACTTGTACTACAGTACAACACCTAATTATCTGATTTGTATCTGCCTGTGCTTTGGTTTCAAGAGTCAGATATCACATCAACCTATATAGGTTATAATATTTATAATAATAATTATATAATAATATTTAACCAGGGATTTCATGCACTTAATGAAATATTGTTATTTAATGAAATCTCTGGTTAAGAATTTTGAGGATTTGGTTAAATCAAGGTGGGTGAGGTAACTGTACAAAACCAAGTTCTACTGTTGAAGACTGGCATAGTCATAGATATGTGTTCCGTTCCATGGAAAACAATTCCAATATTATCAGTGTTGTCTACTGATACACGCCTACAATCTTTACAATTCAGTCTGTCAGTTCAGGTTCATCCATCTCCTCCATTGTGGCAGCAGACACCGGTCAATTTGGCCATATTTTATTGCATTCACCCCTCCATCCTTTTTAAAACCCTCACACTAACATCATTCATGTACATTTTTCGACTGCATACAACTCGTAGCATATTGCACAGTAGCTCTCACAGTGAATGTCATATGGGTTGACACCTTCAATGACTCCTTTTCTCATTCTTAGTCATTAAAAATGTCTTTCACTAGTCACCTCACCATCTGATGTAGAACAAATTGATTTCACACTAATAGTGACTTAACCTCTTACTCTCATATGTGGGTAATTAGATCAGGGAAAACAACTTCCATGAAAAACAATTAGAAATTATAATCTATATTGTTAAAATATTTTGATAGAAAATGTCCATACTTATTTATGTCCATGCTAACTGAATGAAGATCTTACCTTTGTGCCTTTTTGTCCAGGTAAGCCAGACATCCCAGGACTCCCTCTTTCACCCTGAGTAAAAAACAATATTCTGTTAATGCTAGAAAGTAGAAACACAGAAAAATATGTAGTACATTTTAAGTTTAGAATAAAGAATTATTTTAGTCTTACTCATTGTATTTGCAATTGCCATTTGTATTTTCTTTTTGTCTTGGTTTGCAGTTACAAACTACACAACTGCACAGAGGGGGGAGTGAGGAAGTGTTGGAAGACTCCTCCGACATGTGGACATTTGGACCATTGTATCTGTGATGTCAACATGTCATTGACTATACACCCTTGTGCAGGAGGTTGAGTGCTTAGTAATAGGACTGCAGGCTTGCGTACGCCTGGGATGCTGTGGGGGTTGTTGTGGTGCTGAGAGCCAAATGAGCCCTACCTGACCACCCTGCTTTTAATGGAACTGAGCTGAGACGGGAAGGACATTGCACAATCACCACATGACTCTTTCAACATTGTAATGTCATGTTTATTTCACAGGAGACCTGTTTATCACACTAAACAGATTCCACCAATGAATATCTCTTTTGCTCTTTTAAAAGAACAACAATTAGTCTGATAAGTCAAACACTAACACAAACACCACACAAGTTTGGGAGTATGCTTTTTAGTTTTCAGAACATTTTGTTAATGCCACTTCTTTTTAAAAATATATTGCCCATATACTTTACTTACTGCAAAAACAACCAGGTTTCTCAGTATAAAATTAAAGAATTTTAGAATTAATCTCAGCTGTGAAGATCAATATTGTTAACAAATCTGAACAATTCTAGTTCACACAAATTTCCTACACTTTGGCCTGGTTCTCCAGGTTGGCCAGGGGGTCCTGATTTCCCAGGTCGGCCAGGATCTCCCTGAAATTCACAAATCACAACACCTGTTAATATCAACCTTGTTGATGGACACAGTGAAACAGATAACCACTCAACACAACAGGGACATGTCTTTATTCCATAATTCACGTGTAAAAGTACTCATGACGTAAAAAATATTCAACTAGATAACCTTTCAGATTGACCTAGCTAAACATCAGCTTTTACAGAAGGCATAACATATTATATCTAAGAATGAGAAGGTAATCACTGCTTAAAGAATTCACAATACATGATTCTTTAATTGTTTTACCATATATTTAAATCTGGATTCTTAATTGTTGAAAATGTCTTCTTTCCATTTCCCTTGTGGTCAAAATGCCTGTTAAATAAATTGTAACAATTAAGAACTGAAATCTCTTGTGCTTGAGCTGAGAGATTTCATTGACTGACCTTGAGACCACTGTCTCCTGGAGGTCCTCTGTCACCTGCATTACCAGCATGGCCAGGAGCTCCCTAGAAAAGCCAGAAAAATATAAGCCAACTTGTTACATTTATATTGTGCAACATTTAAAATATCCAAAACTTTTCCTGCTTTATCCAATACAGGATCGCTGTGGAGCTGGAGACTATCACATCAAGCAAGGGTTACAAACCAGGACCCACCCTGGACAGGACACCAGTCCACTGCTGGGCACACAGACACGAACTCACACACACAATTTCCCCATAGGCCAATTTACCTACCAGTATGTCTTTGGACTGTGGGAGGAAACCGCTTGAACGCTTGAAGAACATACAAACTCCATGCAGATAGAACCCCAGATACCAAGCGAGGCTCCAAAAAATACCTCAGAATGAGGCAGATTCTAAATCTTGATAATTATTACCATTAGCAGCATTACATACTAATTTTATCATCCATAACTTTGCAGTCAACATATTGGAGTTAATTAATTTTAGAAAATTAAACACATCTTTTTTCCCAGTAAAGGGACCTACTGCCTTTGCCTTAAAATCAATTTTCAGACAAAAATGTTTATTTCACATACTTTGTCTCCGGGATCTCCTTTACAGCCTGGAGGTCCAATGCGCCCAATTTTCCCCTGAAAGACAACAGGGAGAGAAGGTTACATTCCAAGACAATGGAGTAAAATGCAGGTACATAAAGGATACCAAAATGTCCTGGCTTCCTAACCTCACCTCCCTTGAAATCTACAAACATCAGGGAAAGTGCCTTTTGAGTCTTACCTGAATGATACTGTCTATCTTAAGATTCCCACTCTTGTTATGGACAGGAACATTCCATAAACGACTTAAGCCAAGCATTTTCACTGGGAGTCATGATAAAATTCTCAGCTTTTTTTATCCTGAGACGTTTCCCCTAATCATTGGAAGTCATTTTGATGAATTTAAGTGTGAACAACAACAAACACCTTATAGGTGAACCTAACTGAGCTTACCTACAGTTACAGTCAGGCATGAGGCTATTGAAGTGTTCAGTACAAATAAGTATACACATTAAAAACAAACTCACCCAGAACTATGGCCAAATTACATGTTTAAGTGCCACACAGAAAACTGTTTTTCTAGTTTGGAATGATACAGATATGAATGCACTGACAACAATTAGACGGGCACTGCAAGATAGTCAGGTCTTTGTCTCGTTTGAATGAGACAGAGTGTCCACTTCAATGCAGTACATTATCTGCTGCTAGTGCTTGGAAACTAGATGTTTATTATCACAGCCACTTGAAAATCTCACCTTCTGTCCATCTGTTCCATTACGCCCCGACAGGCCGGCAACACCCTAATTAGATAACAATGAAATAAAAATTAATTAAATGCAAATTAGCAGATGTATAGTATGCAAACGATTAAGAAAAAGAAAAACTGTAATATTTGAAATTCAATCTATAACAAAAGTCTCACCTTTTTGCCTTCTGATCCCAATTCACCCTAAAATGACACAAAGATAAGAACAGATTACCAACCAGCAATTGAATAAAAGAAAATAATTTTAAATATGAATAGAAGCATAAAGCTATCGACACTACATATATTTGGTCTATGTTGTTAAAATTAAGATTAAAAACATATAGATATGTTTCTTAGTTAATATTTCTATCAACATTTAAAATAGTATTTATGTTAATGTTCAACTGTAAAAAATAGTGAGTATATCCTACAGTACTATAGACAAGCAGTACTACTGGTAATGACGGTGCTTTGACTGTAACATAGATTGGCAAAAAATTCAAAACATCAGAATTTGGGATTTTGGGGTCTACTTCTGACATTGCTCATTTTCTAGTCCTACACATCTTGTTTTCAGCCTGCCTTGTTTCCACTGTGGTGGTGGGGGGGTTAAATCTCCAAAGCATGGAAAGGAGACGAGATTGGGAGCAGGATGATCCACCTTACCAGCAGCCAGTTTTGTGTTTCAGTATTATTTATTGTGCTTAATGTTTTTACACTGTAACATGACATTTTGTTTACCAGAAGTACATTCTTTTAGGATCACAATCTACTATTGTTTTAGAGCATGTCATGTCATATACCGAACAGCTTTATACCATATGGTGTCGCGGGAAGCTGGACCCTACCTGGCAAGCAACAAGCGCAAGGCAGGGTACACCCTGGACAGGGCGCCAGTCCATCGCTGGGCAAGTGCAAGCCAATCATATATGGGGACAATTTGGAGGCCATAATTAAGGCTGAGGGGGCAAATTTGGCCCGGACAACAGGATAACTCCCTACTCTTTTTGAGGAATGCCCAGGGATCTTTAGTGACCACTGAGCATCAGGACCTCGGTTTAACGTTTCATCCAAAAGACGGTTGTTTTAGTTCTCATAATTATAATTTTTACACTTTTACATTTCTAGACTTTTTTTTTACAATATGAAGGACATCTTACCTTTTCGCCTTTCAAACCAGGGATACCCTAAAACAACACAAAGAAATAATATGAAATCAATGTACTGTACATCTAATATTTCCTCAAAAATGTATCTTGAAATTCAGAGAGTTCCAGGCTTAATTGTATAAATATTAAATCATATTGTTGTGTTTTAAAAGTAAAAAAAAAGTTCTAAAACTGCACTGTTTAAGATGTGTCTATACATCTTCCATGTAATTATATGGTTTTGGTTAGTAGATACCCTTATTTAGGGCAACTTTCTGCATTTACAATGTTTCATATTAAGAGTATTATCTTCAAAAATATCAAAATAATTCACTGCATAACTCATTAAATGTTCAACATATTATTTATGCCATTATAGTTATTCACCTAAGATTACACACTCACCTTTGGACCTGGGTAACCAATAGGGCCCTCAATACCTTGGTCACCCTGGAAAATAAATGCTCAGGTGTTAGAGGCCAATAATATTAATTAAATACAGTACTTTCCATAAAATCAAGTAAAATGTTTTTCTTCCTCAGAGAGGTTTCTATAATTTTTTCCTGTACCTTCTTAGCTTGATTGGAACAACACAAGTGAGCTCAATATGTTACACAGAAAAAGTTCAATTTTTAACTATTTTATTGCTTTTTTGAAAACAAACAAATAATGAAAAGGACAGGTTTGGGAGGAGATTATATTGTAATCTCACCATTCTGCTCTCTTACATATAAAAACACTCATAATTGTGCCTGCTGGAGCACCTGTTGTGCACATCTTTTCCAGAACCCCTCCTTCCATCCTTCACTCACACTAGTTCATTCCCCATAAGTGGGTTTTGTCTGCCTCAACTTTACAATCTGGGCTGGCACTTCCATCAGCCAGGAGAGCTAATGCCAAATATCAAAATATTATGTATGCTATCCCTTTACATTCCTCATTTTGTTGTGTTCATTAACATTTGACCAAGCTACTGAAGTATAATTATTTAAAAATTGACAGCATTCTGTGTCCGGTGCAGTTTCTCGACAGCGGACTCTGAGGAAAGAACTTACCTGTCGACCCTTTTCACCTTTTGGTCCAAGTCCACCAATATCTCCTTTTGCTCCCTAGAGGGATTGAAATAATAAAGACTGATATGAGATTGTATCTCAATCCTAATGACATACTGTAACAATACAACAGATTACGATAAGATTTCAATAGTTACATACAGGTTACTGCCAAAATAAAGGAAAAGACCAACATACAATGTAATAGGGTGTTGATCCACCATGAGCCACCAGAACAGCTTCAGTGCACCTTGGCATAGATTCTACAAGTGTCTGGAACTCTATTTGAAAGATGCAACACCAATCTTCCACAAGAAATTCCATCATTTGGTGTTTTGTTGATGGTGATGGAATATGCTCTTTTAGGCGCCACTCTAGAATCTCCCACAGGTGTAGAAATAAGTTGAGATCTGGCCACTGGAATGGCCATGGCATATATTTTGTCAGTTTTCGTGCTCATCAAGCCATTGAGTGACCACTCGTGTCCTGGATTCAGGATAGAAATGCTTCACCACAGGATGACGTGATCACTTAGAATGACTTTGTATTTATGGCATTTACCTTGCACCAGGGGTTGAGTGGACCAAAACATATGTTAGGAAAATGCATCTCACACCATAACAGAGCCACAGAACACTTCACTGTGGGAAACAAGCAATTGAGCCTGTATTCTTTTGTGCTGCACCCCGAATTTTTCTCCTGCAGTACATTATTATCTGCTGAAATGTCATATGTTTGCCATATCAAAGAAAAAGCATATTTATACCTTTGTGGGTCAGCACATTGGTTCAGTGTTTAGCATCACTGTCTCTCAGTGCTGGGGTCCTGGGTTTAACTCCTGCCTTGGGGTGCTATCTGCCTGGAGTATCTATGTTCTCCCCATGTTCACATGGGTTTCCTTCAGGTGCTTCAGTTTCCTCTCACAGTTCAAGGACATACTGCTAGTTTAATTGGCTTCTGGGAAAATGGGCCCTGGTGTGAATGTGTGTGTCTGTGTTTGTGTCTGTGTGCCCTGTGAAAGACTGGCTCCCCTCTAGAGTGTATGCAGCCTTGCAGCCATTGCTTGCCGAGAGGGTCTTGCTCTCCTGCGATCCAGTATTTGAAAAAGCAGTTCCAAAATGGATGGATACATACAATGTGTATAAATTTTACATACAGATAATTTAGTAATTTATATTTCCAACACAGTTAACTAACCCTTTAATGTGTGGCAGCTAATAATAATTAATAATTGCTTACACTTATATTGCGCTTTTCCGGACACTTCAGTCAAAGCTCTTTACAGGTAGTGGGGATTCCCTTCCACCACCACCAATGTGCAGCATCCACCTGGATGATGCAACGGCAGCCATAGTGTGCCAGTATGCTCACCACACATCAGCTATTAGTGAGGAGAACACAGTGATGAACCCAGTTCATAGATGGGGATTATAAGGCCATGACTGGTAAAGGCAAATGGGAAATTTGGCCAGGATGCCTGGGTAATACACCTCTTTTCGAGAAACATCCTGGGATTTTTAATGACCATATTTATTTTGGCAGTTACTGTACCTGTTCACAATTCAGGAAGTTTAGCAAACTTTTCAGATGACTTTTCAGTCAAACCTACACACCTGTACAGAAAACAACTGAACTGATGCTGTGCTTGTGTGAGAAATGGACAAAAACAACATAAAAAAGCATTGAAGGGGGAAATCCTTGTGAAAGTTTACCTCTGTAAATGTGTTTCAGAATTTTTACATTTTTTGCTGTCTTATTTTAGTGCTACTATAGTTGTATCATTGTTTCACTGTGCCTTCTTGTTATGTTTATACTACACTGTAAACATAACAAGAAGTAAATATTCCTCAGAAACATTTAACAGGATATTCCTATCTCCCAATGTAGTAAAGAACTACATTGAAAAATACTGTATTAACTTGATGAAGAGGAGCAATGCCAAAGTCCTCTCCAACCCTTCTGCTATGACCCACAGAGTACATTTGTTCGAAAATGCCTTTTTCTAATCAAACTGTTGTGGGTTATTCATTTTCTACTGGATTTGGAATGAAGAGTTCAACTTTTAGAACCCTCTGTGAAGGAGATTTCCCTTTAGTGAGCATTATTAGTTGAAGGCATTTAGGTTTGTGGATTTTATGCAGTACCCAGAATTCCTACACACCATGTTATTCAATTGAGCAGTAAAGGTAAGCAATCTTAATCCATTATACTTTGTTGGACTGCAGTGAAAAAATCAGGCACTGGACTTACCTTCTGACCTCTGTAACCCTTTGGACCAGATGGACCGGGTTTTTCCAAGCACTGTAGTCTGTAACACTGTAAATATGTTTAGGGAAGACAAAATCAGTTAAACTCAGTTAAAATTTATTACGCTTCCTGTGTTTGTGTACAATTAGACTAAATTTATTAGGATACTTATGGATACTTATTCTCAAAAATCTAAAGAAAAAATAATTCATAAATTATTTGGTACAGTATTTAATTGTGCACTAAACTAGAAAGCCTTTATCTTAATTTATCTCCTCTGTATGAAACAGTGAAGATTACACTTCACTGTAATCTTAATTTGAAATTAAGGGGTATTAGACCCAAACAAAATTCTCCTTAAGCCTTCTTAAGACTGCTGTGAACATTTAAATTAATCAGATATTTAAACATTTTACTTAACTTTTTTCATTTTTAATTAAAAAATAATAATTAACTTTTTTTAACCTTAGGGTTGCTTAGGGAGTTCAGGTATCAACTTTTGAGCATTTTTTGTTAACTTTATCAATCTTTTTTTTTTTAAGCATTAGCTGTGACGCTTTGTTATAAATGCAGTGTCTGCTATTTATACTCAAAAAGACATAGATGTGTAGGTTAGACCCAGATTAGCAAGTGAAAACTACTGACATAAAATTTTGACCTAATGTGAATGAAAGTTAACTGCTGCAAATGTAGACCGATTTTTCTCTTCAGGTATTCTGCATGCTTTTAAACCTCTTACATTTGTTTTCATAGTCGATCTTTATAGAGCAGAAGCAGTCTGCCTTGCCATAATAGGAGTTTGTGTTAAATTAATTAATTGATAATTTACTGTGTAATTAACACAGCTGCTGAAGTAATGCAACAGAGAAAGCTATCGATCAGAAACTAAAAGACTACTGTATATTACATTGACATACCAATTGTAAAATTACAAAGATACATTGTGTCTTGACCTTATGACCTTAGAAAATATATTCCTTATTATCCTGGAAGTATAGGGCATAAAGTGGCACAATTTCCTAGACAGGTTACCAGTACATGGCAGGGCGTAAACATTCACACAAAAGCCCACAGGAATAAATTTAGAACTTGGCTACTGAACTTGCACATTCTCCTATGTAAAACATCAAACTCCCATCAAACCAGTGGACAAAGGAGGAGCTGTAGTGGTTTGGCAAAAAGACCTGTACATTAAGGAAGCCTCCAGACAATTAACTGATACTTCTGCCTACCATCCTCTCCAACAGGATCCTTCCACTGACTACCAGAAGGAAGTGGTATCCAATATCTCTCTTCTTATCAGCAACCAGGAGCTCCCCCAGGAGGTGAACTGCCTCATCATCGAACATCCCCAGGTATCCCAATTCTATCTCCTTCCCAAAATCAACAAACCCGACACCCATGGACACTCCATTGTCTCAGCATGCGATAGTCCGACCATACTCATCTCTGCTTTTCTCAACAGCCTTATGAGACCGCTGGTTGAAATGCTTCCCTCATATATCAAGGATACTAACCATGCCCTCTAACTTTTCAATGATTTTCAATTTCAGGGTCCAGAATGCTACATTTTTACCATGGATATCATTACTCTCTACACCAGGGGTGCCCAACCAGTCTATTGAGATCGACCAGTCGATCCCGGAGTGCTTGCCAGTCGATCGATCGCAAGAATGTTTGGAAAAAAATAGATGGGCTATTTGACTGTTTCTTTTTTTCAATAGGCTAGAAATTCATTCAAATCTGTGTATGTAATGTCATACATTTTACTGTCCTTATGTGTGTTTAACCCTTGTTGAATGGGCTGTGAAAGTCTCTTCCCCGAGTACTGGCTAACACTGAAAAAAAGGCAACAGGAGCTCCGTGTATTGTGTGCTACTCAAGAACGTTGTGTTGGTTATTGCCACACCAACCCCCCATTTGCTACAGTGCATAGTGGAGTGAAACAGACTGGCTGTGACAAATTTGCCAGAAGTTTGTTAAGTTTAATTGCCTCTTGATCGTTGTAGTGTTTGAGCGAAAATTATGAAGCAAAGAGGCCGAAAACAAACCATTACCACAAGGAATGGGAGCATTATTATTTTTTTGCACTATCACATTCAAATCTGAAATGCTGGAGTCTATGTGAAAAAGGGAAATATAGAACAACATTTAAAAACTGCACACAAAATGTATGATGTGGACTTTCCTAATAGTGAGTTACGGAAAAGAAAAGTAGAAAAATTAAAATCTCAATTAGCAGCAGTTTTCATGAGGCCTAATACAAGAGGGAAAGCAACAATCATCATCGTTCCATGTGATGCACATCCTGGCTAAACACAAAAAAATCATTCAGAGATAGAGAAGTAATAAAAAAGCATTTGCTGAGGCTGCTGACTTGCTGTTTGGAGATTTAAAAAACAAACACGTTTGGGGAGGTTCAGACAGCTGTTGCCTGAAATCAAAGAGTTTCTCAAGTCGTCTAAACATGGCGAATATGCCCAATTGGAGGATGACTAGTGGCTTCTGGACTTAGCATTCCTCATAGACTTGACTGAACTGCTCAATGAGCTGAATGTTGAGCTGCAGGGACAAAATAATAATGTAATCGATATGATCAGGAGTGTCAACACATTCCAAAAAAATTATACATGTTCTCAAGTAAGCTTATCAGTGCCAATGCTCACATTAAAGTAGGATATTCTTTTTTCTAAAATTGCGAACATTACTTGTTCTCTGTAGCATGCGTCACTTGCTTTTATTTGCTGTCATTTTAGTGATGGGTATTGTATTGTACTGATGTGTCCACAGTCTGTTTTTCCTATATCAGAGCTTCAAATTTACACTGGTAGATCACGCTGGACTGACAAATGAAAAAGTAGATCTTACATTAAAAAAGGTTGGGCACCCCTGCTCTACACTGTCACTCCCCATCACGATGGTCTCGCAGCCCTCAAGCACATGGTAGACAAACGCATAGTGCTGAATACACCCACCCACACTCTAGTGCGTCTTATGGAATTGGTTCTCACACTTAATGCATTCTCATTTAGTGGAGTCGCCATGGGCACCAGGATGGGACCTAGCTATGCCAATATTTTTGTCGGCAGGGAAGAAGAATGCTTCTTTGCTTCCTTCACTGGCTTTGTCCTTGACCTCTATACGCATCGATGACTGCATGGTGCTGCTACATGCTCTAATGACCAGCTAGAGCACTTTCTGCATAAAGTCACTAACTCTCACCCGTCCCTCAAATATACAGTTAACCACTCTTCCATTTCTAGATGTATACTTATCTATTAACCATCCACTACTCTCTACCTTGGTCTATTACAAATCACAGATTCACATAGCTATCTCCTGTACAGCTCTTTTCACCCCACTCACACCAAAAACTCTCTCCCTTTTTCACAGTTACTCAGGCTATGTTGACTGCAGTGACAACATGGATTTCCAGAACCAAGCACTCAAAATGCATTCGTTTTTCATCAACAGAGGATACCCCACCCATGTTATTGACAGGGCCCTCACCAGGGCCAAATACAACCCTCGGATCATCAACTCGACCAGTAACTCCCAGTCTCACAACTGCATTCCTTTGGTGCTTCCCTACCACTCTAAAACAGTTTCTACCCTGGGAGCATTATTAAGAACTACTCCATTTTACAGGACGATCCCTCCATCGGTTCCCTTTTTTCTGACTGCCCAATCATCTCTTACCACCGACCACCCAATCTAAGTAAACTTCTTGTTCACAGCTCCCTTGACTGCACTCGGAAATCATCGCCTCCAGGCACCTTCCCCTGCAACAGTACTCGCTGCATCACCTGCAAATACATATCTAACAACACGCTCATTCAGGGCCCCTCAGGTCAATTCCGGTTCACCCAGATGACATCCTATACCTCCAGCAACCTCATTTACTGTATCTCTTGCAACAAATGCCCAGCTATCTACGCTGGAGAAACCGGAAGGAGACTAGGAGACCGCTTCAGAGAACATGTTCTGGCTGTGAAGATGAAAGATTTCTCCAAGCCCATAGTTTCTCATTTCACCTCAGATGGCCATGATCACACTGATCTCTCTGTCTCTGTTCTCAAAGAAGGGTTTCTCAACTCCCATGGCAGAAAGACTACAGAAACTAAACTCACCCTGAAACTAGGTTCACACTAAGTTTACAACTTTACACCTTTCTTCACCCCTCTCCACTTTGCGCTTCCTGAGTGGCCTCTCTGCTTCTCCCCCCCCCAGCTTTTGTTCTTCTGTGCTATTTAATCTTTGCTGTCTGCCCTGTCTTTCTCACACATGAAGAAGGCTTCACAGCTGAAACATTGTGTTTCTTCTCTTTTCAGCATGGAATAAACCTATTACTTGTTCCTTTGCAGACTATGCATGCTGACACAGTGACCCACCTGAACTATCCTCCTATGTACACCATTTTATTGTGTTACTGCGACCAACCTCTTAATTATTTAAATGATAATTAGCAGAACACAGAATATTAAAGAGCAGGTTGTATTAATGTACACCAATGAAATACATGGGACCGCAAGTCATGTTTTCCCAAATTACACATAACAATTATTTAAACCAGCATGTTTTTGGAAGACTGGAGGAAACTGGAGTACAGCAAAATACATAATGAAATGCCACAGAAACTGTACCACCACACACAAAATCACTTCCTGCCTTCACAGGCACACACACTCTAAAAAATTATCATCTCCTACCTCAGAATAGGCTTCATGTTGCTGTAAAAGAAAAAAGATATATAGTGTTACATAAGTGTATACCATTCACATTTTTAACGTAGTTGCCAATTTTTCCAAATTTTAAACCAAGGAAAAAAATCAAATGAGCTAGCTAAGCCTGGAAATAGTATTAATTCACTTCAAAATAGTCAAAATCTAGTGTGTATTACATCAATTTTTCTCCCCACTGCAAAGTTATCTAGAGTTTTAGAAACAATATTAACAGGTAAACTACATTCCTGGAATGGCAGATCTTTTATAACTTTTTAATGTAAATTATAAATCATGCATCAAAAATGTGAAATAGAGTAATTTTAAAGCTTATTTTATATTTATTTGTATGTTACAGTTATAATTGAGTCGCCAGAGAGTGAACACACTGGAAAATCATTGAATCTACTTAAGCGCCTTGTCGTGAAATATATATAAAATAGAAATATATATAAAAAGAAATTGAATTTAATTAAATTGACTTAAGCTATAAATCCAAAGCTATAAAAATGCAATTCTACCAAGGGTCTTTGTTAACAAATAAAGTATAAAAGTTCTTAATCTCAAACTGTAACTCATTTTAGTCAAAAGCTATTTCATTAAAGAATTGCTATTATTGAGAAAGAGCATTAGTTCAGGACATTTTTCAACTGTCCTCACAGGGTGTTTAAGTCATATCCAGGAAAAAATGTGAACTTTTCACCTTAAAAGAAGTGTGTAAAACCAATACTGAAGGCTGGTTTGATTTAGTTATGCATCCAATTTCAAAGCCTAGAATGAATCCATATTTCATGCAGTTCAAATAATACTTTTCCTTGTTAACAAGTGAAAAATTATTATAAATAGTATGCCTGCAAATTACTTATGTATATTACATATAATAGAGATTTAAAGTTGCTAATTAATCTTTGAAAAAAGTAGGCTTAATCATATACACTAACACTCTATAAAAATACATACTCGTTTTAAATTTCTTTTGACTCATAATTTCTCCCTGTTCATTTGCCAAAAAGATTTGTTTATCCATCATTCCTCTCTTTTATACTCTCAAAGTATCTCTATTCTCACACGCTCCTCCTGTCTTGTTCAAACAGTATCTACTGGATCCACCCATTCTTGACGACTTCCTGGTATAAGCCCTTGTTCTGTCTAGACTGAACAAACTGAGATCTCTCTAAAATGGCTTTCCTGCTTACATACTCATTCTCTCCCGCTATTCGAGAACAATCTAGAATCTTCATCTGCTGCCTAATTCTTCTCACAACCAATGTAAGAACATCTGTCCTTAGCCTTCACTCTCCTCGTCCCTGTGGTCCCTTCTGTCTCACTTGTCTTTTTATACTGCTTCTGAGGACACTACTTAGCTGTTTCTTGTCTTCACCTTCCTACCTCTCAAGCCAGTTTGTTCTCCTCCCATGCACAACTGCACAACTAAAAATTGAACCTATCATGAACTGCACCTATAGTTAAACCTGTTAAATATTCTCTAAAGGTTCTCTTGATTGCTTTTAAAGCTAAGGAAATATCACAAAATCTTTACATGTTAAATTGTGTGTAAAAAGACCCACCAGGTAAAAAGTTGCTACAATATATGAAACACAAAGGATACTAAATGTAGTTAAGATACAACACTCTTATTATTTTCCACTTATTTAAATAAAGTGTTATCTACAAACAATACTACAGTGAAAGTACTGCAAAAACAGAAAAGAATCAAATCCTATCCCATAAACTAAAAACATATTTTAAGCATTTACATTAAAACCACTGCAAATTGTCTATTTCAGGTAAACATGGACTTCTCAAGGTTTCTGAGAATTTTTTATTCTTTCAAGCTTCTAATCTACAACAAGATTAAGTTCTAGACTCTAATCAGATTCTAATAGCATCTTAGTACAGATGAAACTGCACAACATCAGGTATGATAACTTTACGTAGCATTCTGCACTTACCATGACTTTAATGATCCGATCCATGGTAGCTTCATTAACTGCCAGTGTTGGACCATCAATGGCCCGATAAGAATTGCGGTAAAGTTCAATTGGAGTATTGGCAATCTCTTTAAGCCCAGCTTCATCATATCTCTCATTTCCTGCCACTGAAAATAGTCTGATACCCTGGTCTCTAGCCTCTTCAGCCTTGATTTTCATTCCACGGCAGGGGGTTCCTGTCACATGACCATCAGTAATCACCACAGCAAAGCGAATGCGGTTATCCTTGGATGCATGCTTAACCACCTGGTCTGTCATGTTGGACAGAGCACAATCAGTGAAGGTCCCCCGGCCCAGGTATGAAATACTCTTGAGACGCTGGATGAAGGCATTGGTGTCACTGGTGATCTGGCTGAAGATCTCAACTCGATCGGAGTAATGCAGCCCTCCTAGTTCCCATTTAAACTCGACAGGCCCTCTAGACTGCAAAGGTTCCAGTTTTCGAACAAACTTTTCTGTGAACCTTGTAATGGAGGTTACCAAACTGCCAGGTGGTGGAAGTTGCAAAGCAACGGTCTCAGAGGTGTCGATGACAAAATACACGTTAATGGCACACTCAGTCTTTTCTAGAGGAAGATAAAATAATGGCAAACACTTAGTTCCTTTACCAAAGTAATCTTCTTATTTTTATATTGTTATAGACAAACAAAAGCTTGACAAGCATAACACTGAGCCTTTAACACACACAGATGCAATTATTTTAATCTTAGTTATTGCATAATGAAAATAATACATAAGAATGAAGCAAAAAAACAAAATAGACGACATCAGTTGTGGCAGAAAATTAGAACAAAGTAACAGATGAGGTTTTTGTTGAAATACATACTGTATGAATTTAAACAATAAACAAAATGTATAAGGAAAAGATAATTAAACAAGGAATCTTTGAGTGAGACAGATGAGAAGGAATTGCCCTAAATGAGGAATAAAGCACTGCATGTGCTCACAGCAAAGCTGAAAACAGTAAATAGCTATTTATTTTAATTGACAACTTCATAATTGCCTAGGAATGCTGAGTTTTGTGCAGTCTACTTCAGAGTTTCCCAGACATGGTCCCTGAATCTTTTTTCAAACCACCCGAGCTCTAAATTTAAATAGGCTTTGTTGTATTCTTATATATGTACTGTACCTTGACCGTTTACTCAATGGAACCCTGTAGTCCTAAGAATGCTTAGTGTAGAAGTGCGTTACACCGCGCCATTCCCACTTACACAGCGCCCGTGCACACCATTAACTAATAACCAGTTAAGAGCTCTTTAGAAAACTATGGGTGAGCAGTAATTCTGAGACCATTTAAACTAAATATTGTTTCTAGCACTTCTTAACAACATCAGAAAAAGTAGAATATTTTGATAGTAAGTACTGAGTACAGAAAATGCTTAAAAATAATACAATTATTTTGATTAAAGTTCCTATAAAGTCTAATTGATTAAGAGCTCAGATGGAATGGAAATTGAAAGACACAGCATCAGCAGGACCAGTCCTGAGAAATCATATTTTATAGTATTTCATAAATATGGATTGCCTTTCCTTTTATTCAGATCATCTTTATTCTACTTACCATCTTTTTCTGTCATCTTTTCATCTTCTATTTTAACAATTTAATCTTACTCAATATTTGCCAGATCAATATTCATTTTGCTACTTATCATTTTATTCTCACAACATTTACTTCCAAATCCAAGCACATGAAATCACAATATCACACACTTAACCCACTTTTCTGTTTACCGACAGAATCACAAAGACCAAAGTACTTACTGCTACAACCTTGATTGGATGCCTGGCCATGTGTCACAGCTCCAAACAGGAGACATGTTAAGATGAATTTTAATAGCATTGTTCGCCGTTTTCCTCCTTTTCTGATGGATTTAAAAAAGAAATAAATAACATAAGTCAAAGGTAAGGATACAAATTGGAACATATGAATATTGTAGCTTGTAGTCCACTGTTCCTGTGTTGTGTGCTTCCTGATTCAAGTCTTCGTTTTACATAATTTCTGTCTTCTTTGTGGCACTTGAGCATTGCTTTATCTTCTAAACCCTTTTTCCTTAGTTTCCTTAATTTCTATTTTTCTTCACACTATTTCAAGAGGCCTGTACTAAACCTATATTATTCTCCAGCTCTCCACTGGCAGTCTTTACCATCTTCATCTGCACTGTACCAACGGTCCTCAAAACTGCTGCCAATACCCCGTGCCAAAAAAGCCTAACATGGCTCTCGACAACCTTAACAATTTTCGCCCCATCTCCAACTTACCCTTTCTTGCAAAAATTCTAGAACGGGCTGTCACACTTCAGTTACATAACCACCTCATGACAAACAACCTTTTCAAACCCCTCTAATCTGGCTTCCATCAACTTCACAGCACAGAAACTGCCCTGATCAAAGTCACTAATGATCTTCTAATAGCTTCTGATTCTGGTTCTCTTTCTATACTCATCCTTCTTGATCTCAGTGCTGCTTTTGAAACTGTTGACCATAACATCTTACTTTCTCGTCTTGAGACTGTGTTTGGAGTTTCTGACACTGCTCTCAAATGGTTCAAATCTTACCTCACTGATCGCTGTCACTTTGTCTCTCTTAATGGGTATAGGTCTGAAATTTGACTTGTTAAGTCAAGTCTGGTGTTCCTCAGGGATCAATACTGGTCCCCTTCCTCTTCAGCATTTACATGTTTCCACTTGGTCAGCTTTTAAGATCACATGGCCTCAGCTATCATTTCTACACTGATGATACGCAAATATACATCCATACCAAACCTGACACTGGTGTGGCTGTCTCTATTCTATCTAATTGCATCTCTGACTTAAAAATTTGGATGACTCAAAATTTCCTTCATCTTAACTGCAACAAGACTGAAGTCATGCTTATTGGCACCCCCCATCAACTTTGTAAAGCCAAACCTGTAACCCTATCTGTAGATGGTTCTGTACTTGAGCTTCAGTCTAAATTGAAAAAACTTGGGGTTATATTTGATTCTGGCTTAACATTCGACCCACATGTGCAGCATATTGTCAAAACATATTTTTTTCACCTCAGAAATATTGCTAGACTACGCCCTATGCTATCACTAACTGTGGCTGAAAAGCTGATCAACACATTTGTGTTCTCTCGAATTGACTACTGTAATGCTCTACTCGCTGGGGTATCTAAATCTACTCTGAACAAGCTGCAGTATGTCCAAAATTCAGCAGCCAGAATCCTGACAAGGTCTAGTGCAAATGATCACATTACTCCTATCCTGGAGTCCTTGCATTGGTTTCCTGTCAAATTCAGTGTGGACTTTAAAATCTTCATGCTCACCTACAAGGCTCTGCATGGCTTGGCACCTCAGTACCTGTCTGAACTATTATCGCCCTACTCCCCACCTCGCAACCTTCGCTCTTCTAATTCTGGTCTCCTTACTGTCCCCCAAGCCCGTCTACATTGTATGGGTGACAGGGCCTTCTCCTGTTATGCCCCCAAGCTCTGGAACTCTCTCCCCAAGTTTATCAGAGAGTCACCTTCTCTAAACTCCTTCAAATCCAGACTCGAAACTTTCCTCTTTAGAAAAGCCTTTACTTAACTGGTTCCATTCTTCACCCCCTCTGCTTTTCTTAGTACCACCATCCATGGTCTCCTCTGTATATTGTTATTGTGTTTTATCTTGTGTATTCTTTTTATTTATTGTTGTTGTCATTCTGTAAAGTGCTTTGAGAAGCCACCTTTAAACGCACTATATAAAATAACGTTTATTATTATTATTCTCTCCTCTTAATCTCACTCTCTGTTTTCTCAAAACGCCTTCCACCTCTCTCTACTTGTGCCCACTCTTTTTGCTCTCTGTTCTAACCCTAGAGGCCTCTGTAATTACCACTTAGGCATAAACATAGAGTTTGATTTCTGCTTGTTAGCTTGCATTACAGTAAGTCACAATGGATAATGGTGTCTACTGATAATAACAACTGCATATAGTGTTAAAAAAATTTTTAAGCACTGTATTTTAAGAGGAAACAAGGAATGAGGGAGTTAAGCGATATTTATTTTAACTACCATAGCTCATAAAAATATTTTTTTCCTCAGGTACTTTTTTTTATATGACTGACAGATCTTTTAACAGCATAGACTACCAATGGTCAATGTTTTGGGGTATATTTTGTACGTACTAAAGACTGCACTGTACAAGGTCAGGAAAGAGCACATTTGCAAGAATCACTCCACTTGACCTAAATGACACAGCCTAAGCAACCAGATACCAGTATCTGTTATTTTTTCTGCTTTGTTCTGACCTTTGTAGCCAGAATATAATAGTAGGAATGTAATATTGGTGAATGCAAGGACAATTGAGAGGTACAAATCTTTATGTATGAATTGCTTCCTATTTCAGTTCTAAATGAACTTCCCCTTGCCTTCTTTTTTCATAACAGGTTCATTGTTGGTTCCAAGAGTCCCCATAAATTGACTTTGTCGATATCTTTCAGGATTCTGAAGACTTTTAACAAGTGCCCTCCTAATCTCCTCTGGCTATCTGAGTATGAATTTTTGGTTGAGAGTAATTACCCTAGTAATGATCTTTTCCCAGGGCAGATGTGTACTTTTTGTAATTTAATAAACAAACCTGTAACATATTCTAAATTACATTCTACTTAATCATGGTAAATGTTTGGTCATTTATCCTATACTTTGTACATTTTATTCTAGGATTCTGTTGGCCTGTTGCTGAAGCACAGCAAGAGGAGTCAACAGGAGTCAACAGTGATGACACTGCATAAACTTCTAATGGAAACCATGAATAATGCTATTCATGGTTTCCATTTTTAGCCTTAATATGCAGTACATCTGCTTTACTTGCATGAAATACCCTAAATTCTACCTAAAAATGCATTTGCAAATTTCATATGTATTTCATATACCATTTAGAAAGGTTTACCTCCTCTGAAAAAAAGCAGCCTGATGAGATTTTATGAGATGGTGACCTGCTGGCCAACACACACACTTCAGAGTTCTGGTGGATGACTAATAAATGCCTACAAGTTAACTGTAGGTTTGAGCACAAGGACAAGCATAATAATAAACAACAGTAAAAACAATATTTGTTGCCCCTTGCACTCCTTCAGATCTACGATAACCATAGTGACACATCATTATATATCTCCATTTGGGGGCTTGAGGCAATGAGTCCTAGCTTTGAAGATTCCCAGGGCTGAAAACCCAGTAGATGCATCACTGTAAAGAATGAAGTACCACATCTACCAGTGCAACATTAGGTACCCCAGCATCAGAAGTTGGTTGCTGACACTAAAATGCCTTGATGGTAAGCTTCTGTCCTCCATATCCAAACCTTCTTGAAGACAAAGTGGATGGATGTGCTGTAAGTATATGCTTTAGTCTGTTTCTATGCTTGGTGCCAAGTTCACAAAAGTAGATCCTTTCTACATTGTCCTAGTTTGTGAAATTAAATACAGTAAATGTCAGTAAAACTAAAGAGAAAAAAACTTAAATATCTTTACTGTAATGTTTAACTATTCAGACTCATTAACTAAATATCTGATAGAAACACCTCTAGCAGCAATTATAGTTGTAAGTCTTTTTGGGTTAGTATCGACCAAATTTGCACAAAGGCTTGGTACAAGTTTTGCACTTTACTCTTGGTACTCTTTACTCTTTGCTCAAGCTCTCTCAAGTTGCCTTGGGATTTCTTATGGACAGCAGTTTTTAAGTTGTTCCACAGATTATTAATAGGTTTCAAGTCCTATTACCCCTACCTCAGGACTTTCACTTGGCCTCTGAAGAATACTTACGTTCTTATTCTTAAGTCACTCCATTCTAGCTCTGACCGTCTACTTTAGATAAATATCTTGCTAAAAAGCAAATTTTTGTCCCACTCAAGTTTTCTAAGATTTGCCAGTTCTTTTTTACTGTACATCTATATTTTTATCAATCTTGACATACCCCCCAGTCATCCCTGCTGATAATATACATGCTACTTCCACCATGTCTGACAGTAGAGATTGCCACATGATGACCACAAAACCTTTTGCCATAGTCACATGACTTAGGAGATTTGTTGCAAATTCCATGAGCAGTATGATATTTATTCCAGCTCCCTATAAGCCCCAAATGTGGAGTAACAAGGATATTGACCCATGGACATTTTCTCCCATGTCTTTCAAAGTCACCATTGGCTTTACAGTTGCATCCACAATGGACTTCTTCCCTGCCTGCAATTAATATCAAATATTGTTACTTCAATGTGTCATGACTGCAGCTTTGAACCCACAAAATATAAAAACTGTTGAGAGTCTGAATACTTTTGCAAGGCACTGTAAAAAGTGTAGATCTCTGTGCCTTTTCATGTGATCAGTTCCAAATGTAGGTGTTTGAAAATAAATATTACATGGATCCCTTCTCTTTGCAGTTTTATTTGTCTGCTGTGTTCACAGATACTCATAATTTGTCACTAGCTGGTTTTGCTGTGACAGATGAAGCCTTGGAGCTGACAGATATATTTGGCTCTGATCCTTCTTAATTCTGGACAGAGGACAATTCAAACTACCACATCACTCTGTCAATGGGAAATATTAAAAATTAAAATATTAAAACGTACGGACTATTTTTTTGGATTCAGTCTTACATTTCTGATTATAGAAAGAAGGTTTGAACTAAATGGACACAGAATTCTAAAAGAATGTCATCTATGGAACAAATGATGGGAAAAGGATATAATTTGCAGCAGTGCATAGATTTTCCATGTACTGTAGAGTCCATAATATAAAATATGATTCAACAAGAGGTATTCCACAAAGCAGACAAAACTCTGAGACTACCACGCAATTAAAGATTGATTAAATATCGCCAGGCCCAACAAGTACTAAACAAATACCAAACTAGACATTAGTGAAATAATATGGAATATTTAACTGCTGAAGATTTTTCAAGAGCTTATCATCCATGTCCAGCATCTCACTTTCTTAAGGAACAAAGAAAATCTTAGCAGAAACACCTCCATGTCTAATAAACCAAATGTTACCTTCTTTAATATCAAGTTTTTGTATTAATTTCAACAACAAAAACGCCAAAGATAAAATATGTATTTAACACTTCTGAATTTGTTTATCTAACTTGGTTTTGGAAAACTAAGAACGCCTTTTTTTTAAAAAAAAACCCACCTATATATTATCTAGGTCATAGAAAAATCCAGGTTCATTGAAGGAATACTGAAATCGGCTTTCCGATTTTTCTATTGGTAATACCCATTTTCACAAGAAAAAAGATTCAAATAAGTCAAAATGTATCGTTTTAAAACTATACAGTAAAAATAAATCCAGCATTTTTAAACAGCATCAGCAACAGTCATAACTTTGATGGCTTACTGAAAATTACTTTTCTTACTTTTGATATTCGTTTAGATTGTGTATATCTGTCTTTTAAAGTCTCTAAGAAAGAACAATTACCTTAATTATTTTAATGGGCCCCAATAATACTCAACGTAAAAATTCTGGTTTCTCTGCGACAGCGTTAATAGACAAGAATAAGGCTTTAGCCGCGAACGCATTAAAAACTACATTGTAAATATACGAATTTAAATGCACAGAAACATCTAATTACAAAGAAGTAGTATTTTAAATGCATTTCTTAAAAGTAGAGGAAAGGTTATCAAACACATACAGTAATAACATTTTGAACAACATTTTGAACAAAGCCAGCAGCAAAACAGTGCATTCTAGAAAAAAAAAAATCAGTTTTCTACAATGATTAAGAATAGTTTGTTTTTTAAAAGATAAGATGGCTTAAAAGTTCAACAGGTTTTTAAAAGGGATGCTTAAACTAAAGTCAAATAAAAGCCAAAAAAATCTATACATATATACACATACCTGCAAAAAAGGGAAAAAAAAATCTTCCCCTAAAAAGGAGACCGAAAATTCTTGTTCAATGTGTATTAATTTTAACTCCTCATTCTGCGAAAGTGTTGTAGAAGTTAGGGGGAAAAAATAAAAAAGAGAGAAGCAAGTCTGGGAGTGGTTGAGGCTTCTCTACCGAAGAGCGCCTCTGTCTTTACTCCGTTAGAAACTACTTTTCTCGCAACGGTCCCTCCTCTTGCTGAGCGCTCCCAAATTTTTTCAATATGTACTTTTTGATATGCTCATCATCCACGAGGGGGAGCTGTGGATCTACTGTTTTGAATGCGATAGAACCACATTGCTAAGAATCGCATATCCTGTATCAGTATTTATGCCGCACCAATCAAAGAAAACGTCGAGATTAGCAACAGGGTCTTGATTCTCTTGAGACCAGAATCACAGAGAAAATTTAGAAATAGAAAGGCTGTCCTTTTAGGGAGAGCTGATCTGGCCTCTTTAGGAACTTCACTTGAAACAAAAAATAAAATAGAAGAGTTCAAGAAATTAAAGGACCTCCTTCACAAAAGTTCTTATGTGATATCTTATTGCACGGGAAACTTTTGTGAATGTGTGCCATTAAGTGGTCTTTTGTGTATGTTTTACTTCAAAGTTTTACTTCAGATATTTTGGGAGTGTTCACTCTCAAATAATTTAGAAACAGTATGAGAACAACTTAATTTTTCTTGCTCACTTCTGTGTCTAGTCAAATGTGACATGTTGGGAAACTGTAACTAAGAAATGCTGAAAAGCTTTTAATTTAAGTAATCATTTGGTATTTCATATGCCTTGTGGGTGTGGGGAAAAAGGTGACTTCATTAAAGTGGGATTAACAGTGAGATATGGGTAGACTATATTCTGGATATACTGCATATCCTCTTAGCAGCATGTGGTTTCTGTCATCACAAATTTCTGCTGTTTTAAACAGAAGCCTCTTTTCTGTCCAGTACTTCACATTTATAGCCCCTAGGTGGATCAGAATGAAGCAACAAGATCTTAATATTTGTTGTACTGTAGTATTTTCCTGTGATCCCCTTAGAAACCCACACTATGGCACAAAGGGAAGTTTAATTTGACTAGACCTTTGAATGAATAAACACTCATTTCATCTCTGGTTTTCCATGTTGTAGTCTTTTTTTTCTTACATTCTTTCAGAAGGAGACTGCATTTCTTCTGATTTATTTTTTTGTCTTCAGGAATGCACACCCTTTACTCATGCCAGACCTGGTACACATGCAGGCTAACTAACTACATGTAAACACAAAGCTCTCACTGATATAGAAGGTGCCATTCTGCCTCTTTACAAATCTTTGCTGTGCAATCATTAGAACCTGTTAATTCTGTTACATTCTGTTCTGTTCTGTTAATGTCCTGCTATAGTAAAGAGTTAAGTACAGGAACTGCATACATCCCAGTTGTCACGTAGGTCATTGTTCACACTGTTGACATTTTAAGGATTTTATGTAATAATTATGAACACTTGCATAGTGGCTGGAAAATAGGAGTCCTCAAGCTTTATTCTGAAGGTCTAAAGTGACTAAGATATTACAGCTGAGCTCTTCATAACCTCAATTAGCTCTTTATTGTCCTACTTTGACTTGTTAAACAGCTTCTCCCATCTCTTTACATGTAGGTGCACATGCTTTAAAGATTCCTGGAAAACCTACAGACACACATTGTCTCTCCAGGACCACAATTAGGGACCTCAACTTGAAAGGCCTCTACAATACATGAGTCATGACCATTAAAAAAAGAACACTGACTCCAGACTAAATTAAGCTAGTTTTAAACGGATTTGAATATTCATGCCATTAAGGACATTTCTGTCCTAAAGACAGAAAGCGTGGCAAAGTCAAAACGTACACTTGGAAAGCACACTTAGTTTGCGAAACTGAGCAAACTGATTTATTGCATGTCTTGAAGAAATCCGCTGCCATTACATCAGCGAGACAGGAAGAACACATCAGAGCAGGGGGGATCAAAGATCTCTCTGTTACTGATCATTCCCCATTCCACCTCTCCATATTAAACTTGTCTTTTTGTCTATGTCGGTCTTTTGTCTTTTTACAAAGTTCCAAGACATCAGAAGCAAAGATGACCCTCAAACCTGGAACACACCTTTCCACTTCTCTCAGTTTTAGACTAATTTCTTTTTTGAACCATCCATTTACAGATCTCATCTTTTCACAATTCTTCTCTAGATTTCCAGTCCTATTCATGTGTTTAATATCTCTGTTGAGAAGGCTCAACAGCTGAAACATTGAATTTTATTCTACTTTTTAGTGTGGAATTAACCTCTACTTGTTCCTTACCAAAAATGCCGTTACTGCAACAGTCATTGGTTTTGCCAGTAAGAACCTGCTAAAGCACAATACATGTCCAGCATTAACCTGATTAAAGCATGAATTCCAGAGACCTGTGGTATAGAATTGAAAAGAGAAGGCAGGCTTGGTGTTCTTGTAACTGGCATAGCAAGAGAGAAAGGGTGGCCAACTAAACTCCTGATCTAAATGGAAAAAAAAATGCTCAGCCACTCTTTCCTTTGAAATTCTTGTTTGTGACTTTTAATTTTCTACAAGAAAATGTATTTCAAATGGGTTAACAAGTTGAATCAAGTTGTTTTATATAACTCTATGCTAAGCATGTTCCAAATGAGTTACCTTTTAATAATATATGATTTACTCATTTTAAAAGAAAAAAAATGATTTTGTTTTCAAGCTGTTTATTTCTTACTATGGTTGAGAACACATGCTATTAATTAAGACCTTAAGAAGAGACATCCAAGCTCTGTTTTTGAGGCATCTGGTTTTCATCTCTGTTCATTACACAAACTAGTACTAGCTAGATTATAAAACATTAGAATAAAATATTAGCTTTTCAAACTGACAAAGAAATTGACTGGTAAAATTCACAGCAAGAGGAATAATTAACTTGAATCCCTCTGCTTTCTCACCTTAGTTTATAATTGCTAGGATGCTAAAAGCCTTTTTTTGTTGTGATACGTTAATCTACTGTTTTAATCAAAAGTTGATGAAAACGTTCTAAAACATTGATCATTATATATAATACTGACAACCTAAGGCGCATTTCCCACTTTAAATGAACAAGTTATTATATACATATGCTAGTTTAAAATACTTCTTTGCTTCTGAGATTCCGAGATCTGTCCCATTTGTTTCTAACAAAGTTTTCGGAAGGGCCAGAGCCTATCCCTGCAAAGCAGAATACACCTGGGATGAAACACCAGTCCATCACGTACAGACACAGACAGTAACTCCAGGTCTAATCTTCACAGAAGCCAATTAACCTACCAATACTGTAAATCTTTATACTGTGGGAAACCTGAACACCTAAAGAACATACAATCTCCTCACAGATTAACACCCTAGGAACTGAACCCAGGACCCCAGCAGTGAAAGTCAGCAATGCTACCCACTGCACCATCATGCCACTTCGACTTCTGCTCATGAATGTTTTAATTGAGATCTGCTGAAATCTCTAAATACATGGCAAAAGATCTTGACATTTATTTTTAAACTAGTGCCATTTATGAGATTTAAGCCTAGTTTAGAAGTGGTAGGCAAATGATGTTACCAATGATCAGAAAGTTGTTTCTAAAGGATTTGGGCATGTCGAACACAAAACACGAAATTCTTTGTTGTTTTTCAAGTTCTGATTAAATATTCAAAATAGCTGCCACACTGAAATACTAACACAGATTATACTGAAAGCTAACGTCTTCTTAATGCAAGAACCAATCATATTCTCATGTTCCTTACTGAAAATTGTTCTTTGAATTAACTGTTAACTGTACAGAGACCTCATGTTGTAGGATAGAGCCCACCTACTCAAGGCTGACTTGGTTTTTGTGATGCCAATGATGCCACCTCCTGTCACGATCATAATCCCTCCTCTTAAGGGCGCTCCGGCTCTTTCACATTTTACTGATTACATGCACCTGCCACCAGTTCTGCCCCTTCTTATTTAAGCCTAGCTTTCTTGTTATTCTGGGCTCAGAAGTGGGAGATGGATGCCCAGAAGCCCACCTACCAGCAGGTCCAGGAGAGATTAAAATGCTTGGAACGCCTGGCCTCGTCATCCTGTTTTTATTCCCCGTCCCTGTACCAGATCCCGTTCTTGTTTTTAACCTTGTCTTGTTTTTGTCTCGGATGAATTACCCAGTTCTGGACCTTGGACTTTGCACCGGATTTCCCCCCTGTACTCCTTGGACTTGTCTGCCTTGGCCCCTCCCCCTGAGCACCAGTTCACTGTTGTCATGCCCCACAGTTCGTCAGCCTGCCCTGATCCTCGTTGCTTCCTCCCCATTGTCCAACTCCACTTACTTCTGGATTACACCATCTGCATAGGGTCCTGAACTATGCTTCATGGGAACCTCATGGGAAAGCTCCTGTTACATCTCCCTTCTTTCCAGTGCTGTTTAGCCACTTGGATTTGGTCAGGGTCCACTTGATTGAATGTCTGCTTTGACCTCTTCACCACAAAGTTCCCATTGTTGAACTCTGCCTGATGTCATCTGTAAGTTGGTGCATCTCGCTGATGAACACTGTGCCCCATCGAGCGTAGTTCATGTGATTACACCTCATGAACCATGGATGCATCTGCTTGAAGGCTTGCAAATGCAGTTCCCAGAGGCCATCTCTCAGTGTTTTGGTGAAGAGAAGAAGAATTTGTATCACCTGCATGTACCCTCACCAATACTGGAAGTTTGGGCTGTCACAGCTTGCTACAAATGCAGGCTGTGTGTCTTTGAATTCTTTGTTTGCAAGCAGAGGGACCAAGCCATCAATGTCATCTTTCTGTGTCTTCATCTACAGTATATTTACTTGTACACGTCTTGGTTCTTGTCTCTGATGAACTCAACAAGTTTGGGGACCAGGATCCTCCACATGGCTTGCAAGGAGATCTTGTGTGTTCTCATGTCTCTGTTGTAAGATTTGCCTCAAAGCATCTGTTCTGCAGTTTGCAGTCCCAGTATGCCACTCTCTATCCAAGCTTCTTGCAGTCCTGAAGACTGAACATGTTTTCTTATGACCTCTAGGAAGCCCAGTGCAGTGTGCAAACCACCTAACAATAAGAAAGTTCTGATATTCAACTTGAGCCCACGTGAGCTCCATCAGTTTGCAGAACAGTGCTTCGTCAACAGTCAACACA